TCCAGGATCTCCCTCTGGTTCATCAAAAAGCGTTATTGCCAACTATCAGGTGAATCCAAACCACAGTAAAATGAACCCCTCTGTGAGGAAAAAAAATTCTGCAAATTTAACTTTCCGGGACTCTCATCTGCTACATTACCCAAAACCTTTTTCGGAAACCCCCAGAGCGGAAAGTGACACTACTTTCTTATCAAGTTCTCTCAATCTGACGCCATTTTCCAGTTTTGAAGAACCAGAGTTGTACTCTTGCTTTTTCGGGCATGCAACACGCGATTTCCTTCTTTAGAAACTATGGAAAAGGCTCAGAAAACACGAACTAGTCGCCGTGAAATATCCAAAATCACCGGAAGCTCATACTTCAGATTGGTGCTTGATCTTCCAAATTACTTTTCGTTCCCTTTTCATAGTTTTCATACAGTGCTTTGGGTATAAAGTGAGCTGCAAGTTCTGAGATTGAGCCAATATTTAGCTGAGACGCATTTCAGCGCAATCTGATTTCAATTCGAAAATTATTCATTCTTTGGTTTTTTATTTGATTCACGGCACTTAATAAGGCTCTAAAACTCTTTTCTTTCCATAAAAGCTGCTCAAAATAGCTCACGAAGTTTTTAGCGCCATAAAACGTCTTGAAGGCAAAAACTTCGAAAAATGCTTTTCGATACTCAAATCGAAGTAGTCGAGAACTCTTCTTTGCTCATTTGAGACAAATGATCATAAATCTTATTCTTGAGCTTTTTTTTATCGGCCTCGACCTTGCGGAGGGTTTTTTTTTTTGAATAAGAGACTACCTGAACTTGAATTGAAAAACTTTTCAGTTTTACTCAGAGCACGGACTTCTTTTTCTGCTTTTTGAAGCCCTCGTCGCTTCTGTTTAGGAAAACTCCACCTGCGAACAGTTTGAATGCGACGGAACGCCGTGAAGCTGAATAGAATGCTTTCCGCGAGAGCAACCTTGAAAATCTTTATTGCCTTCCTTATTTCCGGGTTTACGTTTTCAAAAAAAAACTTGTGCGTTTTTTCTTCTTTTTGTTGTTTCCTTTCAGAAATGTCTTCTCTTTTACTCTCCTAATCCGGTAGTTCTGGAAAGGAAATTTCTCAAAGAGGAGCTCAACCTCATTTCTCTTGATTTATTACTTGCTTTCTCGACCTCCAGTGTGAATTGTGCAGAAGTAAATTGAAAAAGAAGGCGTTTTCCCTCCGTAGAATTCGTTGCTCTTTCAACTTTGCGTGTCTTTCCCAGAGATCCACCCCAACATAATTACTTTTCTCGTCAAGAGCCGAAACACTGCAAATTCGCGCGTGTTTGATCAAATCTGAAACTAATTTGAGAGATATTTCCAATGAATGGCGAATATTTCGAGACTGCTCGTTGCTCTAATTTCATCAGAGAATGTGTTGAGACGTCCATAAATGGCTTGGCTGTCATTCAGAACGTCTTGATGACGTTTTTGCGATCTTTGGAATAGAAGATAGTCTCCAGTTGTCCCGAAAATAGAAGCCGAAAGTTCATGGCTTTCGAATGAGTCAAATAATTACCTCATAAAGGAGAACTACAACTATTTTCAATGTTGTAGCTTCCTTTTTTTGAGATTATTCCTTCACGATCCGATTTTTGAAAAAAAGAGCTTGGACTTTTTCGTTTCATCCTGAACGGACAAATTTTTTTATACAAATCCCCAAACTTCATCGTAGGTTCAAAATCTTATCAGCTTCAAACTTTTCAAAAGTTTTTGTTTAAGTCAATTCGTAGGAAATTAAAGTCATCTTCATAAAAAAATATAATTTTTTTCTTTATCTTCAAAAATTCGAGTTGGTTGTAGTCTCAACAGACAGTGACATCAACAATTATTTTCTTCAAAATTCTATTTTTGACACACATAAGAAATAAGAAGTGAAAAATCTTTTTTTGGAAGCAAAGGGCATTTTCTTAAATTTTTTCCATAAGATCTTCAGGTTGCTACCTTTCACGACTTTTGGTCGCCATCAGTTTTTAGATTTAGAAAACCATTTTTTTATATTTCAAGTTATCAGATTAGATAAACGCTGCACAAGGCGAGCTTCCTTTCTGCAACATCTTTTGTTCGAATTTTAATAATTCTTGAAAAATTTGAAGTGAAACATGGGAGACAAGACCATTTCGTGAAAAAAATTCAGTGAATGATGAAGTTTTGCTCTATCGCTAAATGATTAATTTCGGCACTGATTAAGTCTTATTCAGTTCAATGTGACCCTCTCATCCAATTAGTAATTTCTTTTTCGAAGGTAAAAAAAGCATTTCAGGAAAAACTTCGTTCCGAAAGTTTCCGCAGAAGTCCCTATTCAAAACCCCAACCCAACTGACTGGTTTTTTCAAATTTAAATTTTCATTACGACCCAACGCCCCTTTAATTCACCTCGTGAAATACGTCTTCGTTATTTTCGCTCAAGACAAAATAGCAAAAAAAGCAATTTACCCAAATCGCCTTTTTGTTGTCACCCGGCTTAGGCTGGACCGCTCTGGTTACAGATCAAAAAAACTGCTTGTTTTTCTATTTTTTTTTTAAATCTTTCCGAAACACTTGTATTTGATTGTTGATAAGATTATCATCGTTATTCGATTTGATTTAAGATATTTGAAGTTTCATCATTTTACTATTCGGATACAAAGACTTTTCACCTTTTTTTTCTGGCGTACCTCTGCTAAACCCTTTTTGCCTTTTTGAAAATCGCTTTGCCCTGACGGTAAAAAATAAAACGAAAATTTAAGTTCGCTTCAAAATGCATGATTTTCGAAAATGGCAATCCAAACTTTTTCATAACCCTCTTCATATTATTTTTTGTTTCATCTTTGATAAGATATGATTTCTCCGTTGATACAACTTTTGAATTTGATATCATCTGAAATGACTTGAAAACTCCTGAGCTATGACAAGCCTGCAAGAAAAGTTATGACGCTTCGATTTTTGACTCTCTCGTAAAAGGAAGTGAACAGTTTTTCTAAATAGTGGAAGTTCTTCACCTGCTCATTCCTACAATCCATTTTACTTATTATGACCAACTTATGAGTAAACTTGAAAGCCATAAAGTCTCATAGAAAATTTTCAAAGAATGAACTTCGGAACAACATGATTTCCTTGTCAAAAAAACCCCAAATAAAACTGAAACAGTGTTTTTTTTTCCTTAAAAAAGACACGCTCTGCTTTTGCTTTCTCATGTGGAAAAGCAAGAAGTATTGAGAAGAAGTCTTAAAAATAGAGCGTTTTTTTCCAAAGTGACTTAATTGTTCGCTTGACCTTCCACCATCTCTACGCTTAACGTCAATTAAATGATGCTTCATCATTTTCTCTCTGCCTCCGCAAAAATGTCTTCAAAAATGGCCTCTTCTTCATTTTTTCAAAATTCCTTCAGAAAACGTTCAAAGATTTTTCTTGCAGCGTCTACTTTGTTATTCCTCGAAAAAGCTATTTCTTTCCGTTTTGGAAGTTGGAAATATCACGTTCAACACATTTCGAACGTTTGAAAAGCTTTGGTGAACGTGAAAAATAGCAAAAATGATGCTTTGGAGTAAGTTATTCTTGGAGTTCAGTCGAGTACTACGATAGTTCACATAAAAAAGTCTCAAGCGTTGGAAAGAGTTGACTATAATCTTTCCGAATTTAGTGAAGTAGAAAATTGCTCTTCGGTAAGAATGTTCAAAAAAAAGGAAACTAAAGTTTTTTTTTCGGAAATAATTGAGTTAATGGTTATTTATTGGATCCTAATAATATTTTATCAAAACCAAAAGTCTGACGTTCTCCTAAAAAAAAATGAAGGATGGTAATCATTTTTTTAACTGCTACGTATATGAGCCTTGAAATATTGCATAAGAATATGAAGGAGTTGCAAAATTTGAAAAAAAAAAACTGAAATTGTTAGTTCAAAAGGTTATCTTGGAGAGAAAATGAAGGAGAACAGAAAGTTCGAATGAAAATTCAGATTTCTGTACTTCTCCTTTCAAAAAATCAACTTCACTTTTTTTAAAGTCATAGATGAATGGCAGGATAGGAAAAAAATCAAAAGTATTCTTTTCGAGATTTTTTCCGTTCTATTAAGGCCAAAATAAGACGACAAACTCAAAAATCGAGTTTCTCAAACATTTTAAAGTGTTTATCTAACAGATATTGAAACCTTACACCTGAAGCGATGAATAAAATCCTCCCTCAAAAATGTGAAGGACACGGTAGAAGGAATCGCTTATCATAATTCATCAGCACTTTTGGTGCGGCTCAGAGTCTCAGGAGGCGGAGCCTGTGTCAGCTCTGCCGTTGCGCCTATTGGAGCTTTTCCTGCACGGAAACCTCACCAAATTATGAATTCTTCCCTGTTTTTAATTACTTCCCGAACAATCCGAGCCTTCTGACATTTGCTTCTGATCTACGCCACAACGTGAAACTCCCATTTCCTCGTCGTCTGTTTTTTTCGGATCTTACAAAGGAAAGAATACGAGCGAAATCTTGAATTTTTCACGAATTCGTCACAACAATTAGAAATTCTACGTCTTCACTCAATCTCCAGTGAGCACACGGTGAAAATAGAATAGCTGGGATTTCAGAACCATACGAAAGTGTGTATTTCTTCTAATTTGGTTTCTTAGAAGCGCCAGACTAGTGAGAAGTTATGTGCGTTCCTTTTTCTCTAAAAAAACATTTGTTGGATAGCCTTCATAGCCACTTCTTCTAGAGGAAGTCCATAATGGACCGTTTACAAGCATCATAATGCACTGGATAAAAAATGAATGGGCCATTCATTCTTCCATTCTCATTGTTCTGATGATCCTTCTCCAAGCACTTTTTGACATGACGTTTTCTTCCACCTTCTTTTTGTGTCCCGAGCAACTACAAATGTCGTTTCGGTTGTCATTTCTCTTCGAAAGTGTTCGGGATTGACGCACGCGGATAATTATCTCAATTGGGAATATCAATTATTGATCTGTGCATTTCCGTCTAGGAAGTTTCACGTTTCAGAATCAATTAAATGTGGTAATGCGCGAATGCGAATGCCTCCACGAACCAATCGACGGTATTGCCGTTTACGCCAACTTGGTTTGTTCTGCATTCTTTCAAGTTTTCAACTTCAAAAATGCCTCTCAAGAAAAATTAATCAAAATTATTTTAAATGTATCTGATACGAAATGAATTTAACAGTTTTTTCCATTGTTTTATCACAAGTATTTCAATTCAACGGAATTTCTAAAAAGCTAAAAACTCAGAAAAGAGGTTATTTTCCAATCCTTTCATCATCTGTATCTGAAAAACAAAACTTGTTGAATTTTACACTCACCGTTTGAATCAAAATTTTTTTCTCAAGATTTTTTTGAATTTCAATGATAATTCAGAAGCAAGACACTTTTTGATAAACCCGAATGAAAAATTATCGATATTGACTTTTTTTCAAATTTGAATATTGGCGACTTGAAAAGAGCTAGAGCTTCTCAACTTCTTCAATTCCCTAATTTTGTAGGATTTTTTTCTGACTGCCATTATCTCATTTACTTTTTATCGATAGATGAGAAATTTATTTTTTTCAATAATGCCTCAAAAAGTGCGAAAATATATTTTTCAAATTCAAAAAAATCAATAAACTTTTTCAGAGACGAAGACTATTTTGTAGAGAAGAAAGGCAACATTTCAACTAATTAGTTTCAGCTTAATCTGATTTTTTTCTGCGCGAACCTACGTTCGAGTTAATGCAAATTGAATTGTTCCATTCTTTGGTTTTTCTAGGCTAGCATCTGGAATAGTATAGGGATAATCCACTCGAGATGGTTTAAAAGGACATAAAAATGAGAGAAAACTGATGGGCTTTACTAAAAAGGGAAAACATTTCATCTATCGAATTGCCCTATGAGTGATTTTCGACTTCAAGACGTAGCCCAATGGCTGAATATTGAGCTCACTGAGTTCAGTCGAAAATTCGGAGCAAAGAAATTTAAAAAAATTACTTAAAACCAACTTCTTCTATTGTTTTTTTAGAAAACGATTATTTCAGGCGCTGATAGTTGTTCTGCTGCCTATCATTTCAATCGTCGGTGTCGTCCTCAATTTTTTCAACATTTTCATATTCTGTCAGCAGAAAAACACGGCGGCTAAGTACTTGACCGCTCTAGCGTGCAGTGACGTCGGTGAGTTCTTTCGTGTTTCTTTGATTTTTTCCTCCATTCGGAAAACCTCCATTCTATTTGGTTCTGTCTGGGGTTCTTCCCCTTCACAATATGAATTTTTTCGCTTCCCCCGCTCCTGAATGGAACACTTAGGCAATGCAACGAATCACTGCAGAGAAAAAACAGAAAAGTCGTCCATCTTTTTGTTCTGTTTTTCAATAGGCTTCCTGGTTTAACTTTTGTTTTTTTTAAAGAAAAAAGTGAGAGAGGAATGCTTCTGGAATATTTCCTATGACTTAACTCCGAAACGGCAACCGATGCGTTTCTTTTGAAGTAGTGGCGGTTTCTCCTGATGCGGAACGAAGGCACATGGAAATTGAGAAGAATAATGTGCACCGAAAAGCTCTTCCCGATGACTGAGCAGTTCCTGACCTTGGAAACAGCGCAACTTCCCATAGAAAAAAAAACATTTCAAGGACATTTTAGAGAAGAGTTTTTATTGTTCATCTATTGAAAACTCCTTGTTAATCTCGGATCGACTGGACTGGAATCTTTCTTTTCGTTTAAAAAAAGATAATTTTTCCACAGACGCAAGAAATCATGATGTTTGCTACGCTCATTTTTGAACGAGCGAGTTTTTGTTGATTAATTATTTTATTAGAAAAAAAGTTAGTGCCGGGGAAATCTCACGGTTTTCGCGCATCCATAATGATTTTTGAACTCAGTTTTTGAGAGGAAAATGAGGACTGCTGATGGAAAGTTTTCAAGGATTTATTGACTGGATAAGGCCAAAAATATTCCAAAATGATTGATGATAGAAATTAAGAAAAATAAAGTGTTTACGGAAAAGAAATCTCTTGATTCATAGTGAATCCAAGTTGATTATTGCTCTTATCATCTGAAAGTTTTAAAATTATTGTGAAAATTTTTACCCTTTTGGTTTCGAAAAACGCTGACAAAAATAGGCATTTCACTCTGTGGTTAAGATTTTTCTGAAAATTGGCCAGATGTTCATTATGTACCAGATGAAGATCCGGAGAGAATCGCCCTGGACGACATTCCAGTTTTTAAGACATGTCAAAAGAAATCCTAAAAGTTTTCGAAATAGGCTATTTTGGTTCGACTTTCTTTTTTCGAAACTAGGATTTTGTAGGTTGAGACTTTCAGAACCTTTTTCGGGTTCGTCAAGTTTCTGGTCAAATTTCGTGAAATTTCTGAATTCGAAGTTCAACGACCTCTTTATTGAGTTATTTTTTTTTCATTTGTCTCTTTTTAAAGAAGAATCCTGGCCTTTTTCCATTTCAATCGTAAAATTTCTTTTTTCAGGGGTCTGTATGGCCGGGATCTTTGTGATCTGCTCGGACTCGTTGAGAGCTCATTCTTTCTTCATCGACCAATTTTTCGTCTTTCTTCTACCAAATATTATCCCGCTGGGATTGTTTTTTCAGGTATGTTCATTTCTACAAACAAGTGCATTTCCATATTTTATTCTGACGCCTTTTTCCCGCATCCCAAGGCAGTTGTAAATTTGATATTTCATGTCTTCTGTTCTCTTGGGAGTGCTTAGATTGGTAGAGTTGGAAACGCAGAAAAAAAAATAGAATTATGCGAGTTTTTGTTTGATTTCAGATGCTCTCGGTCTACATCACAGTACTGGCAGCTTTCGACTGTTTTTTCTCGGTTTATAGGTGAGTTATTTAGTTTTAAAAAATTTTGTTTACGAAAAGCAGAGCAGAGCCTTTACCTACAGATTCCAAAACTAGTATGCTCAGTTTTGGCACCAACAAAAAACGGGATTTGATGTTTTTTTTTTAATTTCCGGCTTTCGAGTCAATAATTTTTTTTCTACTACTTCACTATATACCCTTCCGATTCGAAAAAGATGAAAATCACGTCCTCATGATAGATATAATACAAAATTTCAAAATCAGAGTTTTTGTATTATTGCATGAAGTTTCAAGCCTTAACGGCTATCAACAGTTCAAAACTATAAAAAAATCTTCAGAGGAGTTTAACTGAAAATACAAACTTTCTTGTTATAATTCTGTAGAAATAATGTACTTCCAAACTCAAACATACTGTCTACCAATTCTATTGCAAGATTAGAAGCGACTTCAAAGACTTCAAAAAAACTTTTTATGTAATAAGTTTGTTCCTTTTTTCAAGGTTAACGCCTCGAAAAATCCAATCCTCAAATATTTTTACCTCTCTCTGCAGCCGGAAAATTGTTAAGTTTTATGGAAGATCAGAAATTGTGTGCGTGTTTGACGGAGTGTAAGCTTATCGAACTTGAACGCTTCGGGGGGAACTAAAGAAAAATTTTCAGAGATCAGTCAAACTTAACCTTTTCCGTAGTTTAATCAAAAAGACAAGTAATGAATTTTCAGAGGGTCGCACAGTGAATCAACCAGAAGTACGTGGGCTCCTCGAGTACTTGCCTGCGTCGTGATTTCTGTAGCAGCTTATAATATTGTTCAATTCGCTGACCTTCAGGTAGTTTTTCAGCACTGGAAAGAAATAACGGCTCAGTTTCAATTTTTTTATTGTTTCAATGAAACTGATTTCTCCTCTTATTTTTTTGTGAAATATAGAAGGAGAGAGGATACTGAGCATGAAAAAAATATGGAAAAAGTTTTTATTTTTGAGTTATCATAATGTTTCTGATTTTGACGATTTATTTTGATGTTTTTGAAATTATTTAATGACATTTTTCAAGCAGTGTTCGGTTTACTTTGGAAATAGTGAGTCTCACGAAAATTCACTACCAATGAGTTGATTATGAAAGCTTTAGGAATAAGATCAATTGAATATAATAATAATTTTATAAAAAAATTTTATAATTCTCATTCAGAAAAAGAAACTTCGTAACTTACTGAAAAAAATTCAATTCTTAAACTTCCTTCCAAAATGAACAAGATTTCAGGCCATCGAATGTCTGCACCCGGACAACTACACGCTTTATGAACTGTGTCCCACTGAGCTTCGAATCAGCGAAACTTATATTTTGATTTACAAGTCGGTTATCATCTTATTTCTTTCATGATAGCATTATTTCAGAGGGTACCTATATGCATTATCCATGGCTTTTCTTCCTTTCGTGCTTCTGACAGTTCTAACTGTTGCCATAGTAATACTGATGCGAAGGAAAGAACAGCAAACAAAATCGGAAAAATTAGGTAAGGATTTTTTCGGACCTATAAAAATGTTCCCACAAGTTTTCTCTCTAACTGAGAAGTGTCTGGAGTGTGATTCAAAGTGTGACTAATTCAATTTTCAGTTTTTGAAAGTCTTGGGGGAGATTACCAAATAAAAAAAAACAGTTACCGAGCGCCACAGAAAACATAGAAGCCTACAGAAAAAGTCAGCTATAGTTCAAGAATCTCTTTTATATACACCTTAATTTGAAAAAAAAAACTATCCTTGAAAAATTTTATAGTGAGCAGTACTATAGACGTTCATTCAGCGGAAAACGCCGAGGGATAAAACTTGAGCTTATTATTTTCATTTGGCAGACTTTTTCAGTACCCTATAGGCATTATTTGACCTCAAACTTTTTTCTTCAAGGACAAAAACTCACAAAAAATTTAACCAGAACTGTGCCATTTATTTCAGACACTTTCCTGTTAAATTTTTCAATTCCGCAAAATTGATTGGTTCAATGTCAAATTTGCAGACTGCGACGAAGAAGAGCAATCGCCGGTCGTCCTTCTTCTAGTCGTCCTACTCTTTCTCTGCTGCAATTTGACTTCATTGCTCGTCAATGTTTTCGAAATGCTCAAAATGTGAGAAATTGAACATTTCTTCCGGGAATTTTCAAGAGCTTCCTCGTCTGGCAGGTTCTTAGGGAAAACTCAACCAAATTGGCTTTACTTGTTAGGGAATTTCGCCAAGTTTGAGAAGCTGCAAGCTGCAATTGAGTGGGAGCAATATCAATTCATTGTTTTTTTCAGAAGACTCTCAATGGAAGCTGAGGCGATTCTGATCGACATCGGCAACTTTCTGGTCGTCATAAACGCCACGGCCAACTTCTTCGTGTATCTGGCGTCGTCGAATGAATTCCGCGAATGCTTCCACCGAGGAGTTCAAAAGTTTAGAAAATCCCGACATCGGTCGCTGCAAATCATTCGCGACCAAAATTTTAGAATATTCGACCAAGATCAAGTTATCAGTCATTTGTAAGCCTTTTTCTTACAAGCGGGGTCTTTTTACTTGGAACTTTTAAACCTCCGGAAAGTAAAACCAAACACTCTTTGATACAGATCCTGTGAATCTTTTGTATCACGAATTTCTTATTTTTGAAAATAGAAAACAGATGTATACTAATTTAAGCCAACAGCGAAATGTTGAAGGATTGTAATTTTAATTTTTTTAAACGGGCTATTATTATTTGAAAAAAAATTTTATACACAAGATACGTCGATTATAAAGAGAAAAAAGATTTTCCAAACTGTGAAATAATTATCAAAAGCCTTTCGAGTGAACTTTTCTGAGATTTCGGGTCCACTTTTGTCTTAAAATGAGCATTTTTCAAGTTATAAGTTTCAGCAACCATGTTTATAAAATCAAAGAGTGGCTTATAACTTTCCATTTTCAAAGTTCCCAGTAGAATGACTTCTTTTGTTGGCAATTTTTCTCGTCGTGTATTTCATTTTCTTCCACCCCAACGATGGTTTCACATTTTCTCGGGTATTTTTCTCTTCCAGTTCCTTGTTTTCCGTCTCAATTAGTCTTCCGAACCGCTTAGAGTCATACCAAATGCATCGATGCATGACGCCAACTCCACGAGTCAATCCTCATACTTTGGGTACCTTCAATCTTCTCCAATATTGTAAATAAACACTTTTTAGCGTTTTACGCGTAAATGAACGGATGAATAAATGGTACAATAGAGTTTTCATTGAACTTGGAAAGAAAAGAACAAAACAAACAACCGGGATTGCAACAAAAGAGATTTGTGATGAATGGCGAGATTACAGATAAGAAGGAGATTTTGTACAACAGATCATTTCATAGACGTGGAGTAGAATAATTCACAGGTTTGAGAAATAATGACAAAGTTTGCGAGGGACTTTGTGATTTATTTTTGGCGAGCCTTCATTAAAAATTTTCTTTTTTGTGATATCTCACTATCCTTTATTGTTGAAAATTATAGTCAGATGACGAAATCAGTGAGAAAAATACGAAAATCTACTTTTTGAGGCTCATTATGTAAGGGTCTGATTATCTCGAAAGGTCCGCGTAAAGCCCTCAACTCAACAAAAAAAAGGATAAAAAATAAATTTCAACGTTCCTCTTCGTGCGGCGGCTGGGCGTGTGAAGAGAAAATGTTGGCGTTCACACTGAATTATTTGGATTTTTGGAAGAATACATTTTTCAAGTTGATCAAAACTCTTCATTTTGTTGGGGTTAGTTGAAAGTTTGCTGTTGTGGGGAAATGTAGAAAAACTCAAGATAAAGCGACAAAATAACAAATTGTCGATAAATAAGGATGCAAAAGTATGATGAAGAACTTTTAAAATAATTTCTACTTGTTTTTATTATTTTTCTCTCTTTCTGATGTTGAATTTGTGAGGTTAGTTCGAAGTCCTTTTGCGTAGCACCATTAAAATGCGATAAAATTGTTTCTAAAACTAATATTTGCGTATGAGAAGATTAAAATAATCTTAACGGAACCATGCAAGCCGATAGATCAAAAGAAGGAGAAGTTTTGAAGATCAAAAAAGATCAAGAAAAAACAACAAAATGATAGCTTCAAAGAAGAAAGTAAACTTTTTTGTTTGAAAAAGGTGCACGAAAGTCTTTTTCCTGTGCTTAAAGAGATAGATAGGGGTCGGCGCAACTTGAGAACTTACCCACGAAAAATTCATACAGCATTTACTCATCAATACTGAAAAAAAAGTTTTCAAACACATCGCACAAGCTGTTAGCAAATCACACTAAAAGCAATGAATGCTAAAATTGGAACTTGCAAAAGCGATTCAAAAAAAAAGGAAATAATATTCTTCCTTCAGAAAACTTACTTTCCAGAAACTTTCATGAAATTGTCGACGATAATTGTAATGGGCAGAGCGAGAACCAGCACTCCGCTGATAATCGCTCCACTCGCGATTAGTTTGCCGGCTGAAAAAAATATTTCAGAATAGTTTTTCGGTTTTCCAAAGTTATTTTTGGATCAAACTTTTTCAATCCCAAAGCAGAATTAGCATTGTTTTTAGTTCCAATATTCCCCACATAATTTCGTCTTGTTTTTTTCAAGTTTTTGCCATAGATCATACTGCAATATTGATTTTAGTGCGAAGGTAGGGTGCTCGGATAACCTTTCGGAAATCGGAAACCTTAAAACTCGAAACTTCAATTTTTGAACTTGAAAAACAAAAAAAGCTCTATTATTCTATCTCTCAAATAATTTGCTAGTTTTTTTCTCTGAAAAAAACTGACGAATAGTGACTGGGACGTAGTCGCCGTAGCCCACTGTTGTCATTGTGACGATAGCCCTGAAAACATAAATTATGCATAATTTTCCTCTCTTCTGATCTCTCCTATCTAAATTTGTTTTTCAAAAAACTTACCACCAGAAAGCCGCGGGAATCGAAGTGAAGGGCGTATCTTTTTCATCTTTTTCGACGAAATACAGCAACGTGGAGAAAAATACAACGCCAGTAGAGAGCACCTGAAGAAATTAAGAACGATGTTATAATTCTAGTCGTTTCTCACCATTCCCATCATACCCAACTGCCGGGCTGAGCTGCGGAGAGTTAATGCGAATGTTCGCATACCGGAAGAGTACCTGAAGAAGTCAATAAAATAATGAGAGATTAATAAATAAAGTTGAGAAACCTTCCGAGCTTCAAAATCCGTACGACTCGAAGTACTCGAAGCACTCGTACTACCAATAGAGCACCTGGAAATTAAGTATTTGTATCTTTTTGATATATTACTTCTTTTAGAAATAATCTATGTGAGCAGGAAATTGACAACAGTTTTTTTCAATGCAGAATCCATTTTGATAGTTTCAAATTAATTTTTTTTTTTTGGATGTTTGCGGAAATTTTTGACAGAATGCTTGGTTCATGAAGTATGATACAGGAAGCTGGTATCATGCGGTGTTTAGTAATTTCGCCAATTTCAAAAACGAACGTTATTCTTTTAAAATAATTTTGCGTTTATGCGCAATTGTAATTACGGAAACCGTTCAAAAAAACATGGGCCATCACCAAAAAGGGATTTTTTTACGCAAAACTTCAAATTTTGAAATTATCTGAGCATTTTTGAATAAAAGATTCAAACTTTCGCGTAATCTCGCGATAAATCGTTATAAAACACAAAACTTTTTTGAACCGCTCCTGGAACCCTAATTTTTCTCACGCAAAATTATTTCAAACGATAAACGCGTTTTTGGAAATCGCTAACATTACGGGGAACACGGCATTTAACTTGTCTTCCTTGAAAATTCGATAAAAATAAATCAACAAGAAACTTTATTTCCAATGAATACAAAAACCAAAACTACCTTTGATATCACTGAGGCTGGCAACGTCGATTCCGAACAGAGCCAAAGTCATTTCAAGATAGAAAGGGACGATCGCAATCAAATCGACAATGTTCATGATGCCGACCAGGAATTGAAGCCTTTAACAATTTTCTCTTTTTTCAATTACCGAAATTCATTTCAAACCGTTTCGGGGTAACGGCCAAGCGGAGAATAAATTCAAAAGTGAACCAAATGATGCAGGTTGTCTCGACGTAGCCGAAAATCGGATGCGGCTCCCAGATAACATTTGGATCGTTCACTGAAAGAAACAGAACCACTCACAGAGATGTACCAACAAATCACGTCCACAGTCAACTCTTCAAGCGTCAGTTGCGCAAAAAAGCTTTTGCTCTTGCCAAGTCATCAAAAAGAAAAGAAAAAAAGAAAAAGCGTGGCACAATTTGAATAGCGCAATTACAGCAAAATAAGCTCACTTAATTGGAAGTTGGTGGCTCTGTCTGAAAAAGGGGGATCATTCCAATCCTGTGGACGCAATTCTTCATGGAAAAGAGAAAAACTCAACCGACCAGGGTAACCCAAACCATTACCGTCAGTTACAAGAGATTTTCAATGTTAAACAAAGTTCAGGAATTTCGGGGAGGAACTCAGGTTATTAGCAAACCGAAAAAATTATAAGGAAAACATTTTTAAATAGTTGCACAAAGGAACGAGGATTGGAACTTGTTGGAAGTTTGCTGATTTTTTTTTTTGAAGGAGGTTTTATTCATAGTTCAACACAGTACATGATCTTCGATTTTGTTTTTTTTTCATTTCAGAAGTTTCTGTTGAAAGTTTGTAAACTTTTAAGATATCAATAAAAAAAAAGCTTCCGGCTTTTTGAAGCGCCATTATTTTTCAAAAGGCGAGTTTTCAGCAAGTTTCCAGCAATATTCAATCCTCTTCCAATTTGTGTACTCTTTGTTAGGTTTGAAAACACAGAAAAGAACAGAAAAGTCTTCAAAAGGCCATTCGCATTAGTTGTTAAAATAATTTACCTGAGTATTCTGTGGGTTCTGAAATTATTGCATTATGTCGTGAAAAGCCTTTTTTGAAACAGTTTCAATGCCAAAAAAAAGTCGAAAAGGCCCAACCTGCTGTTACGTTATCAACGCGCTCAGATTTCGATCCTTTTTTTCTGATTGGAACCTAAAGAAACTCTTTTTTAGAGTTCCTGAGAAGATAAAAATACCTGAAGGTCATGTATAGAGCCCAGAACAAGGCCAATCACAGAAATAAGTACAAAAGAAATGCTTCCGAATGTGAAAAGAGTTGAAAGAAGTGAACCATCGCCTTCGCAGAATTGATGGATTCGCATCCGAGTAGTGCTATCCCGGAGTTCCACCTTAAACATTTGAATTTTTTCGTTTTTCACCAAGTAAATTGTTCAAAAACTATTTATCATGTTAACTTTTGTTTTCAAAATTTTCATTTTGGATAGCCACCGCTTAAGGAATATTCATCTATTTTTATTTCATTTACTTTGTTTCATACATATCGTTTATTTTTAATCCTTGAGCTTTTTGTGAAAAATTATTTTTCACGTTCAAGAATCGATTTTTTTCAATCTTATGATATTGGAAAAAGTGTTTGCAATTATATTTTTCACAATAAACGCTTAATATCAAGCTCTCCCAAGTTTTTCCATAGCTCAATCTTGTCTCATTCAAAGTTCTTTGAGAATCTGAGCTCGATTCTGATTCCGATGGCATCAGTGTCGTCGAAAATTTTAGATTTTGAAATAAATCATATTGAAAGGAGTTTATCCAGGCTAATTCAAAATTCATTTTCAGCTCGTAAAATTTCGAATAAATTGAGAAACTTTCTTATTTTTTCTCACCTTTTCTTTCTTACTTGTGACCAGCTCTTCCATGGACGCACTCCTGAAAAATGAATTTATATCCACGAAACATTTCTGTGAGTGGAAAATCTAAAAAGCTACGAATCATTGTAAACGGGTGAATAGCACACAGTACCGCGAGGAGGCGTGAATTTCGAACGAGAACTTTGATTCTCATTCCATAACCTCCAAGCAATCACTATAGGATTACGAAAACAACGGTGTTATTTGAAAGTGAATTGGCTACATGGGAACACGCTCAGCCAAACCTACCGTTTCTCGAGATAAGCCTTCTTCCTAGCGCTAAAAGAATTTCGGAAAAGTGAGATAGAAAAGAGAAGAAGAGAAATCGTGGAAAATCTCACATGTTGAACCCTCGCCAACAGCAGTTGGACATGGCGTTTTCGTTGATTTTCCAGTACGTGAGCTCGGCGGCGAATTCGTGAGGACAGACGTCCAAGGGCCTGTGGAGCTGTCCAGCCGCGTAGTACTTGAAAATGGCATCGAAGAGGATCGCCGACCTTTCGAAGTAGTATTCTTCTTGAGGCTGAAGTTTTCTTGATGAAAAATGCTGCGATAAAATATGATTCTTTTATTTTCAAAAAGATGCGATAAAATTTAGACGACTTGGAAGTTTTCCTCTATTTCAAGTGAGAGCTTGTTCAAAATCTCTGGCCTTTTTTTTTGAAATTTCTAGATTTGTATCCGGTACAGCAACAATTCAAACTTTTCGTCATTTGAACCAATAATTCTTGGATGATACTATCAAATTTTCATGAACCAAAGTAAATGCTTGTGCCGCCCTCCATGGTTCGGCAAGAGTCCTTGAACCGACCAAATTTTTTCTTTTACTATCGGAGAAAAAACTCTTCTAAGAACAAGAAAGGTTATTCTCTTTGAGCTCAATGAGAACACCAACTTCACCTGAGAGCGAAAATTAAAAATAAATGAAGGTATTTGAAAGATCGAAAAAACCTTGAAACTTGGTATTTCATGAAGATTATTGAAATTATCCATAAAAACTTGATTGAAACGTTTTTTTTTTTTTGAGCGCAAAACAATAAGACGTTAAGAGAGTCAATTTTTCATTTTTCATTCTCCTTTTTCTCTATTCAACACAGAAACACAGCTATTACGCAAAAAAAAAAACTCGACTAGGAAAATTTGCGCTATTGCAATATTTGAACTTCGCGCCTAGATTTTTCAAGCACTTAAGTGAATGCTAACTGCTCATGTTATATCTCTATGGAGCGTAACATCTGCAATTCGCAAAAAAGTGACATCTATCAGGTTTCAAGCGATAACTCAAGCAAACAAACTCAAAAATAGAGTAAGCCATGCTAAAAAGATAAATCTTCATTTTTTAATAGTGACTTCAAGAATTTTCTCTGAAACTCACCATCATGTAAGCATCTGAAGCCTCAAGTCTCTGAGCATGGTCCAATTGAGCAAACTGTACGAGTTTTTCATCCGTGGCTCTCGAAAAAAGGCTGACCATCCTTATTCGGAAGGACATTCCACCAATATTCAGCTTCAAAACGGTATCGCCTGCTCCTAAAAAGTTCAACGGATGAAAAAAAAACAACAGAGGGAAATTACCTGAAATGAGCTCTGGTTTGGGTTCAAGAGTCTCCGACCGTCGCTGCTGCCCAAACCTGTGAACGGTCTGAAAAATGAAGGTGCAGAAATTCGAGACATTCATCAAGTTTTAAGCTTTTCATTCAAAATATAGAATGATTTATATTTATTGGATTTTTAGGAATCGAAAATGGTTCAGAACTTCAGGAATGCTTTCGAAGCTGTTGAAGGTTAGTTTGAAATTTTTGAGTTTGTGGAATAATCCGATTTTTCTGTATGCCACTGAAGTTATGATAAGAGCAAAATTCCCTTTTTCAGTGAGAAAGTTTTCAAAGTTGGTTACGAGTTTTTTTTTCAGTGGATGGAAATTTATGAAATGTTTCCAGAAGTTAAGCTCCGCAAACACTCCCAAGGCAACACATTTTTTCTCCAATTCATCAGTTCGAAATTATAGCTATGATAACCTTGATCGTCTTCGAATAATTCATGAACAACCTTAAAAATCATAAAATGAAGAAAGCTTTCTGAAAAACTAATTTGCGGAAAAAAAACTGCAATGAAGTCTCGCCAACCTCATCATGGTGATTGTTACTGTAGCTGTTGGGTCCAGTCGTGCCGTGCCCCTTCCGGGTGCTCGGAATCACCATCGCGATTTGGTTGCTGCAAAAATGAGAAACTTATCACATGCAGTCTATATAGTAGTAGCAAAAGCCGTCTGCTTTTACCTAATCCAATCTAATCCAAAGTGCACCTGTCACTCGCTGTTGTTAAGGTGCCGCTCTTTATCAATTCTTTTTTGACTTTTTTTCGTTTCTTTTCATCGCATTACTTCATATTATTCCATGCGAGAGGAACAGAAAATGAGAGTACGGAAGTATTTGTAAATGTTGACATGGGGATTAGTGAGTAGAACACAAATGTCGTAGGTCTTGGAAGGCGTCATTTTATGAGCAGAATAGAAGAAGATACTGTAACAAGGCCTTTGTTTTTAGTATCTTCTTGATCTTCTGGGCAGAGACTGGAGAAATTTTCATTTTTCGAAGATTTGAAAAAGTGGCTCAAAACGAGGCGTTTGCTTTGAATCGTATCATTTCTTCGGAAAAAATCATTTTCCATTTGTGAGCCAAAGAAGCTTATTCCAATTATCCCAAGACTTCAAAAAATTCCACGAAGTTACGAAGTCCTTTTCACTGTTTCCGATTTTTCAATATTCTTAAGTTAATCAGGAATTGAAATCAAGAAGTTCTAGTAAAATTCCTTCAAAAAGCCGAAAAACGTACCAATCACAGGAGATCATTTATCCGGAAAATAAAAACTTCAAATAAAATGAAGTAGCTCGAGGTAAAGAGTTTTCTACGTAGAAGTGAGAGTATGTCGAAGACAGGACTACAAAACTCAGAAAAAAGGATTTGTACTCATTTTTGTGGCCTTTTCCTATCGGGCAATATTTTTGAGCTTCGTTTTTTTTCCGTACCTAGAAGTATTTGAAAATCAGGATAAAATTGTTTTAAGTTTCATCAGCATAGTTATCAGAACTTTATCAATTCACCTGGACTCGCAACGTCATTTTCAGAGAAAAAGAAACTTCAGAAACTTTAACGGAAGCTAGCGCTGGATGAAATCAAGAAGTCGCTCATTCGAGACAAACTCATTTTTCAAAATTTTGAAGTTTTAATCATTCATCACCAAGATTCAAAAAAAAAACTTTGTTTATCGGTTCAGTCATTTTTTTTTGTAAGAATCTTTCTTTCTTATCGAAGAGGCTTTTTTTTTGAAAAGTTTCTGCTCAGAAGAAACTTCCAGTTCAGTTTTTTATGCTTGCGCGGCTTTTCAGAAATGGTCCCACGAGGAGCATCCATAACAAGGGCCATACTTATGAGCTTGACGATTTTTGAATTTTCGCTCTTGAGGGGATTGTTTTGAATTATGTCGCTTGTTTTTTTTTGCTCTCATACTACGTATTTATAGAAATACAAATGTTATTCGACAATTTTTTTGTTTTCAGGGCAGTTCGAAAGAGGTTTAATGACCTACTAGTGTATTATATAATTGCGCAAAACAAGATTTGCGATTTTCCCATACGAATCATGAGTTATTCACGCAGATACGTCTCAGACAACTCTTGTTCGCAACATTGCAGATGTGAAAATTCTTTTGATTCTCAAGCTTCAGCTAGAGTGTACTACGTTTCAGTTCAAAGTTTCATATCGCAAAAAATGGCTTTCGGTAACGAGGTAGGTATCTTGAATAAACGGTTATTCTAATGCCTGTTCCAGTGCGCCTGACTGAAGTATCTGCTTTTGTAAAGCTGTACAGAGATAGGCGCTGGTCCAGGAAAAGTGCAAAAAGTACAAAAATCCAGTTCCTACCTTCGAAAATTGCAAAAACCCAAGCACAAAAAGGTGAAATTCAGCAGAAAAATTGTGAAAAAATAATCTTCAGAAGGAGATGAGTTCAATCAAAAAAATTTATATTTTGTTGGAGTCTGAACGAACTTTTTGAAGAAGAAAGGATGAACTCAGAGGTCAAATGGGACCAATGAAACCAGAAAATATGACTTTTTTTCAATTCTGAGCAAAATATTTCAAAAAAACGCTAAAAGTAGATTGAAACTTTAATAATAATTTTTCCAAAAAGTGCAAGAAATTTTTTTACAATATATGGAAAGTATCACTGTATGTACTAAGTTGAACATCCTCCCTTGTTAGAAAAAAGAAGCGAACATGAGAAAAGCAAAAGAGCAACCAAACTGCGTAGTGGTACACATGTTCTTTCATTTCCGTAGGCCTTCCTGACTGGAGAATCCTCAGAATAATCATCATAGAGAAGGTAAACACCCACGGCGAAGAAAAAAACTGACCTCGGTCCTCGGAACATAATCAGAAGGCTATTCAGGAGAAGCTTGAAAAACAGAAGTGGGAAAAAAGTTCGGCGGATTCCGAAGGATCTGATCGAGTGAGCTTCTAATTATCTGCGCTTCTCGCAACAGTGTCAATTGAGAAAACGGGGCAAATTGAATTTGGGATGTGCTCCATTTTGACGTTCGACTCTTTCAATTTTTTGCACCTCCATTCGAAATGGAAAGAATACTCCCCGCCTCTGTTGGTTTCTTTTTTTTTCTCGCAACTTTGCGATAGGGTACTCGCGATTAATGACTAATGAAAGGATGCGAACGCGAGAAACTTCCTTTTCTCTCACTTCTGAGATCATAAGAGGAATAGATAAGGAGGCTAAGAAGGAGAGGATATAATGTTTCTAGTTTAGCCTTTTTCCGTAATTTTGTTGATTGATATCGTTAATATGAGATGATTAATAGTTGAATTAGGTTACTGGAAAATGCAGAGAACAACTTCAGATGAAGCTAAGAAGAAATTTTGAAAGGTTCTAAAAAAGGCATGAAGAAGCAACCAGATCCGTAAAAATCTTCAGCAATTGGAATGAAAGGATTTTCCAAAACTGTAACTTTTTGTATTCAATCGGTTTTTTCGAAATTTCAAACACATTTTATCCTTACTAAAACCTGATGTCCTTGACATGAGTCTGAATGGAAAGCGAAAACTATTTCACACCATCGTTGAAAAATTATTTCAAAGTTTTTATTTGAAAAAAGGAATATTTAAATTTTTCGAATAACTTTGCTAACGGTGACCGAGTCTCAAAAAATAACAGTATTCCTGCCGACAAGTATAAAAATAAAACTCACTCGGAGACCTGACATTTGACGAACATGCTCTAGGCGTTACAGCTTATCAAAATGCGGAACAGCGGCCAAACGGCGCCCATAGATCAAGTACTACTAATTATGATATCCTATTCCACGCTAAACCATTATTCAACGGCTCTTGTTCAGAGCAAACACTCGAGAAACGGCTCCTTTTCTGTCCTTGAGAATTTTTTTTCCTTCTTCCAGTCGGCTCGGTTTTGAGTTCAGCTAACAAGACATTTTTTTTTCCATACGATGTTTTTTTTTAAATAATTAAAAGTTCGGTTCAGAAATGTGAAGAAAGTGAAAAAATCGGGAGAAGGGCGAACAAAAATATTGTTTGACTATCAGCTCGGATTTTGGTCGGAAGATCAAAAGGTCAATGGATTGCGTCAAGAAAAAACGAAATATTCATGGAGTTGCGCTTTGTACAGCTCATGCGCTAATAATAGCATAAGTAGCAATTCATAAAACCGAAAGAGAAAACTGGACCGCTTTTTAAACTGTTCGGGTGACTGAAGTTGTGAGAAATTGGAATAATCAGGTAGAGCTCCGACCGTATTTGTGAAAAAAATACAGTTGCGGTTTTCAAAATTACTCACCTCATTGGTCTCACTCCAAAAATCTATGAGAATGTAGTCGTTTTGGTCAGCTTACTGGGAAAGAATAACAAAACTCTACTTCCAGAGAAAATTTCAGAAGAAAAAGAATAGAAAGTTGTTTATTCAGAAGTTGTTCCAACCAAAAAACAAAATTAGAGTGAAACCAGAATCGTTCCAACTAAAAAGCTCGAAATGAATAAAATGTGCTGGATTCTGCTTTCGAAAAAAAAACTTCCAATTTTTCATAGCAAAAGCTGTTATTTCTTCTGAAAAAAATTTAAGGAGACACTTGAGATCTCATTAGAAATGGAAACCAATGTTCTAAAAGTGCAATTTAGTTCCTCTTTCTTCTTGATTTCTACAAAAGGAAATTGTCCATCTGAACGAATTCGAGCTGGAAAGGGCACTGAACGCTTTAACTTCTAGTTCTTTGTTCTGAAAGCTCTAAAATCAAATTCACGAGCGAACTTCTCTCTGTTCTAAAATAGGAAATGCAGTTTCCCTTACGTGACCTACCGAATTCGATTGTACATGACGAAAATCAAGTGAGAAGGGAGAAAGACGAGAATGAAGCCGTCAGAAATGAAAGTTCTCTTGTGAGCTGACGACAAGATGCAGAAATCAAATCGGCCAATTTTCGACTTCCACTGGGTTCGTGACAAGGAATGCAAGTGCAGACCAACTTTCAAAATACTATACTCAAAGCATCGCGTGGCTGAATCGGAAAACAAGACGATGGGAAAAGCGGTGCTCGAATAGAATAAGTAAGATCCTCGAGCTTGAAACAAAACAAAACAGAGACCACTATCAATGAAAAAAAGCCAGTTAAACCACGAGAAAAAAAGAAGAAAGAACTAACTGAAAATGTTCTCAGAATAGAAATATTCCCATGACTGGCTCTGACAGGTCTGGCAATTAGAGGACGACAGAGAGATTTTCTATTGCCTTTTTTTATTAAGCCTACAGCTGCTTCCTGATATTATTTTTCGCGTAAAACGGCTTCTAACTATAATCCGGTAACGTGAAAATTATTCAGAAGTTGAAGCCCTTTTGTTGAAGTCGCTAGTCAAGTGATGGATGTTCATTTCACTGACTTTCAAAAAATTCGGCTCAAAGCTGCAAAAATGATTTTTGTACTATTTAAAGTTTCAAACTAGCCCCATTTCTAAAAAGAATTTCGACTGAATTGTTTGAGTTTTTTTGAAAATAAAGTGATCTCCTCTTTGAAAAAAAGTCATTCATGAGGTCTGAATAGAAAAACATGACAAAATTTGTTTTAAAAGGGTTTGAGGCAAAAAATCCTCTTTTCAAAAGATCCTGCTCTTTATTTCAGAGTTGTATA